GAAGAAGCAACAACTGGCACTTTGGGAGAGGTGAGAATTTAAGCTTTTTTCATCTTAATGAAATGAAATTTATAACATTTACGGTTAGCACAACATCTGTGAGAACAGGGAATTAAGAGTAAGCTATGATAAGATAAGATAAGAGTTGATACTGATTGGAATAGAAAGCGAATGAAGAATGGCTTCAGGACTAACTGGTTGGAAAATTATACCAATTTCAACACACTTCAACTATTGCTTTACGTATTGCATACGCACACATGCAGATACATCACGGATACACATACATATACACACACACACACACACACATACACATACACACACGTACACATACACATACACACACATATACATACACACACGCACACACAAATATATTTGTAGGGTGTGGGAAATATTACACATATGTGTGTAGAAATAGAAAATAAAAAATGTTAATATTAAAAGAAAAAACAGAAAATATCAGAAAATGAATTGAAAGTATTTAATTTTGTAATAAAAACTTTTCAAATCAAGTTTAAGTTTCCCATTACAACATTTCCTTAATTCTAACTGTTACTCATGTATATTACTCTTTGAAAAAGAAGAGAAAGCAGAGGGAGAAAAAGAGAGAAGGAAAAAGAAGAAGGAAAAATATTTCAAATATGTACAAATTGCTACATAATGTTTTAAATCCATCAATTACTTAAAACTTAATAATACATAACTTAAAATTCATCTATTATTTATCACTGTTTTATTAATGAATATTTTTTAGTAAGAATTATGCAAAAAAAAAAAACCAACCCAAACATCACTTTTTGTTGAGTAAATATTTCGTTGGATGGCTTCAACTGATAGCCATCGAAGTGGTATTACACCTTTACTTGTTTTAACATAGACACCATGTCGTGATAATCCAAAATCACTTATTTTTAATTGATTCCCGCGACCGACCAGGATATTTCGGGCAGCTAAATCTCGATGAACAATACCCAGTGATTCAATGTATGCCTTAAAAAAAGAAACAAAAGTTACTCGTATTATTATTTCTTTAATAAATTTGATTAAATTGCTTAAAAATTTGATAAATGCAAAGAAGTTATTAAGTTTAATTAATTTAAGAGAAAACATGAATATACCATTCCGTTAGCAACTTGAATAGCAAAACTTTGCAATTCAACAGGATCCAATTGGTATGCTTCGTTATGTGGCGAATTATCATCCAAATTTGAAAGAAATGATGAATGCATCGATGGTGGCAATGATGGGCTAATTGGTGCATCGCGACCGTAAAATGATGATTTCATATTTACCATCGCTCGATCAAACTATAATAAATTCATTCTCCATATACCATAATCATGACTATTGATTAAATTAGTTTATCAGTATGTCTCTTTTGCACTGATAACAAATAATGATTATATATTGTGATAAATTTAATTCATCAAAGTTTAAAATCATGAAGATATGAGTGTATCTGTGTTACCACGATAAAAAATAATAATTATGCATTGTGATAATTTTAACAAGCTTAGAACTGTAAAGATACGCATATATAACAAATAACAATATAGTAATAATTATATATAACAACAAATAATAATTATATATTATATATAATTATATATTAAATAATAATTATGTATTAACTGTGAATAGTATGTCCATATTATAGCCATATTAATGAGTTCAAAATTATAAAAATATGAGCGTGCTTAGAATTATCACGATAACGAATAATGGTTAGTTTGGTACTGCCTAACGTTATCACGACTATAAATAATGAGATTATATATTGTGAATAAATTTGTACCTGTTTTCGAAGATTTTGCAAATAATGTTTGAGATCTCCGAACGGTACATACTCCATAATCATACATTGATGATTTGGTTCTGTGCAACAACCATACATTGCGACAATATTTGGATGTCTTCCAACCTGAAATAATTTTCCTCAAATTTTTGTTACACAAATTTTGATCGGTAAATTCAGTCAAATAAATGAAAATAACTTTTCCTAAAATTGCTGATTAAACAAATCATTTCTTTGTTAATAAATACAAATAATCACTGATAAAAAGGAAATAAAATAAATAAATGTAAAAGCTTTATGCTATTTATATGATTAATGCAAAGTATAAACAAATATTGATATGCACTTGATTCTTAATCTTTTTTATTACAATTCAAAAATTATTAATAATATTTAGAATATGATGTGTTAGTAAAAACTGATAAATATTAAAAACAAACCAAATTTTAATGAATTTTATTTGATTTGCTCTTCTTTTTTTTAAAAAAAAGATGCAAAAACTTAAATTACTAATTTAATGCTCTTTCCAAATTTATTAATTCTTTTAATACAATGACCTGCTTCATAATGTCCATTTCAGCTAAAAATTCACGCTTTTCATTCTCATCAGCATTAGCTTTTAATTGTTTAACGGCAACTGTTGTTGGACCGATATAACCTTCCACACCATAAGCAGTACCCATACATACGGTACCAAATGCACCTGGAAAAAATAACCTCTGCTTATCTTATTTCTCTCAAAAAATTTACATTTAACTATTCCATCACTTTTAGGAATTTAAATTTTCCTCAATTGAAAATTTAATCCATTTTTGAAATAATTACTTTCTTTGTTTCTCTTCCTTCGCTTTTCATTTTGCTTTTTTTTGCTTGAGGCTTTTTAAAAAAATTTTAATATTTTTTAGTTAACGTTGCAGACATAAGTATGGGGAAGTAAATGAACCTTGTCCGATGATTCCTCCAACCTGAATTTGGCTAAATGGTATTTCATAATTGATTTGTGATGCTAAATTGTTAGTTTGTCGGTAAAGAATATTTGTT